CCACAGTCAATCCTTCATTAGCAATAAAAGAACAATCCAAAATTTGTCTACCAGGAATGAAAGCAAATTGTGAATCACTGATAATATCATCGATGCAACGTCTCAACCTTCTCGAAAGACACTTGGAAAGAATCTTGTACATCCCACCTACTAGGCTAATAGGTCTGAAATCATCTAAACCCCCAATATTAGACCCCTTCGGAATGAGAGTTATGAAAGAATGATTAATGCCATGCTCTCATTCCTTTCCAAGAAGTAATTGTGAAAAAATTTCAGAATATCACCTTTCAAGTGAGACCAATTTTTTTTAAAAAATCCCATATTCAACCCATCTGGCCCAGGAGCTTTGTTACTATCACACGAGTTTAAGGTTTCCCAAATCTCATCTTCCGTAAACTCCTTTTCTAACATAAGACTGCTCCATAGAAATTCTTGAAAAATTCAACTTAATATCCTCCACTTCCAAAGTTGAACGGCAGTTAAAAGCTTTAAAAAATGCTCTCTAACACTTGACTTGATAATAACAGGATCTTTGATAATTTCACCTTCAACATTAATAGCATTCAGAGAATTCATCTGCCTCCTAATGGTAGCACATGTGTGAAAAAATTTAGAATTCCGGTCTCCATCTTTAACCCACTTTTCTCTTGAATTTTGGAACCAGATTTGCTCCTCAATTTTGTATAGTCTCCAAAGTTCAATTCTCAAAAGCCTCAACTCTGCTACACTGTCATAGGCATTGGAAATTTGATTTTGCTGCATCCTCTTTTCTAGCTTGTGAATCTTGTCTTCTAGATCAGAAATATCAGCACGTGGAAACTGTTTCCTATTCCCAAACCAGCTCTTAATGGCAAACTTTGTATTCCTAAGTATGCTCAAAATTCCATTTCTTTTCTTATCCTTCTTGAACTCCTTAATAGACTCTACAACATTCTCCTCAAAACCATCCTCAATCATTAAGTAGCTAAACAGTCTAAAAGGTCTCTTGCCCCAATTATCTTCCCCATTCTCAAGAATAATCGCATTATGATCAGAGATAGATTTAGGCAGTAAAGATTGGATAATCCCAGAAAATGCTGATGAGAAACTAACATTCAGCAGAAACCTGTCCAGTCAACAGTAGGAAAATCCCGATTGCTGCTCCAGGTAAAATTCCCCCCAATTAAAGGCAAATCAATTAGCCCCGTTTGCTGAATAAATAGACTAAAAATTTCCATAGAATTTCTGTTATGAGCTCTACCATCCTTCACATCTTCTGTTAAATAGGCATTGAAGTCCCCTCCCACACAAAAAGGTATACTATACCCATTTAAAAACAGTCCCAGTTCTTTAAAAAAAAACCAGCCTTGTCTTCTTTCACAGATGGGCCATAAACTTTTATGAAGCCACACCTAAATTGGTTGGATTTGAACTTCCCGAAAACAGCAATAAACCTCATGTGAATATGCTGATCTTCTAACTCAAAAATACTATCATCCCAACAACTTAAAATATCTCCTGAAGAACTTGCTGCTGGTGACTCAACGAACCTTTACAACTTATTCAAACCACTTCTCATTAGAAAAGAGCTTGGTAAAATATCAAGTTTTGTTTCTTGTAGAAAAAGAAACGATGGTATTTTAAGTTGTTGGGTTGATAGTATTTTAATTGTTACTTGCATTTTAATTCAATTGGCTTTGTAAATCTACCATTATATTTTATTACTTTTTGCTTATTAACTTTCTGAACAGATTTGACATTAACAATGTGGTAAATCATTGTACCAAGAGGTTATTTGAATAAGTAATGCAGTAAACAGAAAAAAGAATAAACTAAAAAAGAAAAATAAGAACAAAATGAAAGTATACTGTTAAAACAATAGTGTCCTATTAATATCCCTTGAGAGGGTGTATCAGTATAGTAACAGTAACTCCAGATCCATTATTTAGATATATTCTATAATGTTTGTTAAATTATAAATTTAGATAGTGATGGTTAATTGAACATTTTGCATATAACTTTTCCCATATCATCTAATAGTCTCCCTCAAAGTCTGTAAATTTAGGTTCTTATTTCCTTCTTCTCTTTTTTAACCTTTTTGTCAGTTGGATGGGGAAAAACATCGGATTTCCCTTGGCATGAAAAAATCATATTTTACTGATGATATTGGCATCACCAAAGAAGAAGACTCTGATGAAGACATTGAAGAGACTGATGTCATGGATGATGAGGCGAGGTCAATACAGTTGACAAATAGTACTCCTGGGATGAACATTGAGTATGAAAGTGGAGCAAGCTCTGTTCTTGCCCAAGCAGAATCAAGAGCTTCAATTCCTCCACTTGAGGTCACTATAGATGACATTGAACATGCTGATATGGATATTAGTCAAAATCAAGCAAATAATGACAACGCAATCACCATTGACGAGAAGAGCAAGAAGCGGGAAAAAAAGAAAGCAAAGGAAGAGAGGTCATTTGTAACCCTTGTTATTTTTTGGTTTTTCCAGTCTAGGGATGGTTGTCCCAACGCTTAACTCTATTCTATTCTTGAAAACTATCCTTTGCAGGGAGCGAGAAATTAGAGCCGCTGAGGAAAGACAATTGGAGAAGGATGTACCAAGAAATGCTGATGAATTTGAGAAACTTGTTAGGAGCTCTCCTAATAGCAGTTTTGTTTGGATTAAATACATGGCTTTTATGCTTAATTCAGCTGATATCGAGAAAGCCCGTGCTATTGCTGAAAGGTATAATTATTTCAGACCCTTCTGTAGGATTTTAGAATTTTACGACAACCGAACAAAGTCATAAATCTACATGATTTAAATTAGATTGTCCATGTTAACATGCTCATTTTTACTTGTTGTCTCTAGTGCTTTACTTGGGTAGTTTGTAGCTTGTGCGAAAAATTCTTTAGTCTCTATAGTTATAGGTTTGTTTTCCTGGATGATGCAGCATCTTTGTTGGTCAGAGTTTGTAGTTTAGCGTATTGGGTCATTGTGATTAGACTGGAATTTATACTTCCAAAGAATTTATTTGTATCTAGAAGCCTCATTTTCCCATCTGTAAGCATTCATAATTTTAGACTGCTTTTCTAGCATTTTTTTTGGGGGTATGGAACTTCTATTTATTTCATTATTTTCTGAGGCTCATTCTAGAAGTTACATATATATTTTTTAGTTTGCCACACTGATATTCAATAAACGGTTGAAGAATAAATGTATTGAAGTTATGAAATTGGCAGTCCCGAATTACAGATGTATACTCACTATAGAAAACTTTTATTTTTGAATAATTTATTATGTTAACTTTATCTTCGATGTTATTTTCTTCTTTCAAGGGCTTTGAGAACCATAAACATTCGAGAAGAAACAGAGAAGCTAAATATCTGGGTGGCTTACTTTAACTTGGAGAATCAGTATGGGAATCCTCCAGAGGTAACATTGACTCTACAATGCATCTTTGAATTAAATATTTTGACTGTTTCAAAATTACACCATAACTTCAATTGTGATGTTATTTCAGGAAGCTGTGCAAAAGGTATTTCAAAGAGCATTGCAGTATTGTGATCCCAAAAAGGTACATTTTGCATTTCTGGGCATGTACGAGAGGACAGAGCAACATAAATTGGCCAATGAGCTACTTGACAAAATGAGCAGGAAGTTTAAGCACTCATGCAAGGTATTCTATGAGTTCCTGTATCGGTTCTTCTTTCCAGAAATTCGATAAAATCTAGTTTTAAAAGAATAGGAAATTTCAGGTTTGGTTGCGGCGGGTGCAGACGTTATTGACCCAACAGCAGGATGGCGTTCAACCTGTTGTAAATCGTGCTTTACTATGCCTTCCACGCCATAAGCACATAAAGTTCATTTCACAGGCAGCTATACTTGAGTTCAAATCTGGAGTCCCTGATAGAGGGAGATCTATGTTTGAGGGAATTTTACGGGAGAATCCAAAGAGAACAGATTTGTGGAGCATTTATCTTGATCAAGTGAGGACCTTTTGATTTTCGGTTGTATTTTTAATATTATGGGCACATAAGTTACCATTCTCAATCAAACTTGACAGGAGATTCGACTTGGAGATGAAGATGTGATCCGTGCTCTGTTTGAAAGGGCAATTAGTTTGAGCTTACCACCCAAAAAGATGAAGGTGCATTTACTTTTTACATTTTACGGCCTCAAAATGTTTCTTGATAAGCTGTTAATTTTTTTTAATGCTTTCCTATTGGTGCTTATGGAGCTGTTCAATTTGCAGTTTCTGTTCACAAAGTATCGTAATTACGAAGAGTCCCGTGGTGACAAGGAAAGAGTAAAATCCGTCTTGCAGAAGGCGATTGATTACGTTAATAGTATTTGATGTGGATTATCCAAGTACATTGAAATTATTACAGAATCCTTGATGATCTACTTGCTGATTAGAACTTGTTTTAGAACCCTAAATAGTAGATTATGTGCTGTTAGATGGGGGAAATGTCCCTCTGTATTTAGTATCTCGACTTTGGCATTGACCCCGACCTTGGTTTTCATGTAAAATGCTACTGCTAGAGGAACGATGTAATCATTTTTGGATTGGATTATTGTGCAAGGCACTTTAACTCGAGGTAACTTGTGTCTGAGGTCACTTGAGAAAACAGCTTTAGCAGCACTCGGTGCAATATCTGGTTTCATCCTCCCCAAGCTTTTCCTAAATTCAGCATGGCCGCTGTATTGTTCACTCCCACAGCTGTTGGTGCAAAATTGTGAACCCACCCCTGAAATTTTCATCTATGTTTTTGTAGATTGCTTTGATTTCTGATTTCATAAACCCTCCCTCGTATCCTTCTTCATTGATGCACCTACATACACCGGATCATTAAACAACCATGGGAGATCAATTATTTATTACCAATAATCGAATTTTGTGATTGAATCTTAGAAATCCAATTACGTTGCAAATATTTCCTAATACTTTTTTTTTGAGTAAAAATACTTCCCAATACTCGACATGATGATAAAGTTATGTTTCTGGAGCATTTTGATTCTTAACGTTTTATGTTTTTGGTAAAAGAATGTAACTATTAGTCAGTTAATGGTTAGTGTTAAAAATAGGGATTTTTATCCTAAAAATGAAATATTAAAGGTTAAAATGCTCTAAAGAAAATAAGAACTAAACTAATTATGTAGTGAATTGTTTAGAAGTTTTTTTCTGTAAGAGTGAAACATTAGAAGTTAAAATATTTTATAAAATAAGTATAAATTAAAATAATTATTTAATCAAATGTTAGGGATATTTGTATTTCTAGTATTATGCCTAAATTGTACCTTAGATGGTTTTGGTTTTTCATAAAACAATGGGTTATGTAAACCTAATAAAGAAGGAAAAAGAAAATGGAGTAAGGATAGAACCTTATCGAGGGGGCGGGTAGAGGGAGGTATATTTTAAAAATTTTAATGTATTTTTTTTTAATTAAAATCTGTTTTTTATCTTTTAAAAATTTTAAAATACTTTTCCCTAACATAAATCTTGCATGTCTCATAACTGAAAAGGGGTACGTGAAGAATTTAGTTTGCAAAGTCAAGTGCATGCTTGGAAGTGTTGAAAAAGTAAAGCAGGATGGGCAACTGACCTCGGGGAGCCACTGAGAAGAACAAGGTGGTTAAAAAGGTGAGGCCTGTGGATTGCCGCCAAGCATCCAACCATGGCAGCCGTGGAGTGGCCTACTTAAACAGTGTGGTTGAGTTGCAGCTGATCGGCAAGGCACACCAAGTCATGGGCGTAGGCATTGAAATCGGAGTGATACCTTTGAGGATCATAAAGCAAAGGGTGAACGTCGGGGGAGAAAACCATGTCGAAAACCACCACCTTGAAATACAAGGCAAGCATGGGGAGGAGGAAAAGCCATGCACCCTGCTTTTCGCCGAACCCATGGGCCAGAACCACCGTTTGAGTGCCGTTTCAGTATATCTTTGCGTTCAGTGCTTCTGCTATGCCGCCGTTTGCACACCACTTTTCCATTTCAAATGGATAACAAATCTCCTCTCCTGCTCTTTTGTTTCACTTCCTTGCCTTCTTTGTATGCTTCTTTTCCCTCTTTATCTTTTGCGTGTGAAATGTTTAACCAAAGTGTCAACAAGTTTTTTTTATTATTAATATTTTTATCAATAAATAAAGTATATTATTAATTCTGAATTTTTGCATGAAATTTCAGGTATGCCACTTTTTCTAGAGATTTATAATTGTTCTTTCATATTTGAAATCTATATTGAGAAGAATTCATCAAACAACCTAAATAATTAAAGGGAGTATTATTCTACGTAGAGATCTCAAGTTTAAGTAACAATATTTGTAAGAAATGTGTGCGTCTATTTTAAATTGATTGGAAAATTTCAAGCCATACCATATTTTTGTAATCACATCAAACCAATAAAAGAATCTAAATTTAAATTCCCACGCTAAAAGTGAAATATTTTCTTTTAATTATTTGGTGTTGTACATATTAATTTTTTTCCGGTGAATATAGGGATTGCACTCAGAGTAAGTATATTTGATTGGTTGGTCAAATTATTTATATTTATTCCCTCGTGTTTTCTTAGGTAATAGGTTTTAGATCCACTATGAGCATTCATTTTTTCCCTAGAATTTATCTTTTTTCTCTCCTTAAATAAAACTAAAACTAGATTTAGAAATTGTCAAAAAAAATCGCATCTCTTATTTTTTTTTTTATATTTAAAGTTATAAAGTTATGTAGAGAGATATATATTCTGTTTTCCCTCAATATTTTCAAACTAGAAGAAATTCTAGCAGGTGATTTTATTTGAAGTGCAAACCACATTTTACTTTCCAATGTATCACTTTTATTATTAAATTTTACTTTTTTTAAAATTTAATTTTAGATCCAAATAAAATATTAATTAAACAATTAAATCATTAACAATACGATAATAAAATCGTCTTTTCATGAACTTTGCATATTAGTTTTTTTCATAAAACTTCAAGTCATCATCAATAAGACAATAAATAGAAAAAGCCTAACATACCTAACGTACCAATATGACAAAAATGTCCAATATATTGATAAAAATGATATTATCGATCGTATAATAAATATAGCACATTAATTCAAAATTTTACATGTATAATCATATTAACGAATTTAACAAATATATATTTAAAATATTGATCATATAAAAATATTTAATTAATTTTATAATGATGCAAGTGGATGTCTCATGTATCATGTGGAGGTCCAAGCAAAACTGCCGTCCAATTAAAGTTGTCGTCGTAGTAGGCTTTTTGAATTGAACGAACGAAAGAGAGGTTTCACGCTTCACAGGTAATTATAATCAATGTTTTTAAAATCGAACCGGACCTTAAACCGGTGAAGGTACTGGTTCACTGGTTTAACCGTGATTAAACATCGGTTAAATCGGTTTATATAAAATAATATTTTTTTAAAATTTTACATAATATTAAAAGCAATATTAATATATATAACACTCTTTTTAAGTTCACAATATTAAAAGATATAAAAATATCACAAGTCATAACATATATAAGTTAAATATCATAATATTAAGTTAAACAAAATGATTCAAATCAACTACAACATAATATTTAAGGTCAATACGTAATGAAATTCATCAACAACTAAATAAAAAAAGTACATAATTGATACAAGTATCAATCATCATAATATTCATTGAAATTGATTCCCTCAAATTCCAAAATATTAAGAAAAACTTCTTCATTAGTTGAACTACCATCGTCATCACCACTTTGAACTTGAAAGTCCATATCATCACTTTGAACTTGAAAGTCCACATCATCAAGATCTTCATCATCTAACAATATGATAAATAAATACAAAGTTAAATTTAAATTCTCAAACAATACTTAACAATTAAAATTAAAAGTGTAAAACATATTAAATAATAAATATAATTATATAACTAAAATAAACAAGCAAAGATTAACCTTAATTGTTTTTTGATGATTGACCAACTGGAATTGCATTCTCATGATAAAAAAAATTATCAATCTCATCAATATCATATCAAGGTGTTTCTTCTTCAGTTACCCAAAAATCAACATGATCAATAGATTCATAATCAATAGGATCATAACATGGCTTCTTGAGCAACCTAAAATTAAACATAAAGAAATTGATTAATGATTAATTGATTATGCTTAACCCATATGTAAAATCAGAAAATAAATTTGGAGCTGAAAAAAATCATAAAAAACGACGTGTTTGGTTTAATTTAAAAAAAAAGAACCATGTGAACCGCCGGTTCCCAACCGGTTCTTTAGCGGTTCGTTGCAAAACTGGTTTTGGAGGCTGACTGGACTGTACAGGCAACCGGTTCCCACTTCAACCGGTCGAACCAGCCGGTTCGGTCCAGGTTTGATAACATTGATTATAATCACGACAGGATAGACCGAGGGATGAATCAAAAACGGGTGGTTAGCATAGATTCAAATTGCGGTTATGGTCGTGTTTTCAGTCTTGTCGTGTTTATCGCGCTTGCGAACATAGAGGGCACTATTGCGGTAATTGTGGGTATCGCGACCATACAATAACGGTCACGGATGGCACTGCTACTGCTATATTGCAGACTGCTATTTAAATCCCTGCTAGTTAGGGTAATTGATCCCTCATAAAGTTTCGAATTATCATAAATTTTCGATATTATTTATATTTTCTATTGATAATATATTTTCGTTCCTTCTAGAATTTTATAAATTTATTCTTTTAAAGTTTTAAAAATTTGTTCTTTAATATAAAATTATATATTTGTCCAGATTATAACCCTAATTTATTTTTAATTTTTGAACAATATAATCCTCATACTTGCAACCTTATATTTGTAGCTGCTCCATTTCGGCCAGACCCCTACACCTGAATCTCTCATTTTCTTTCACCAAAATTGTATTCAAATATTTGATAAATGTGATATTAATGTAATAAATTTGATGTGTATTGTATTATATTATATTATATTATATTATATTATATTATATTATATTATATTATATTATATTATATTATATTATATTATATTATATTATATTATATTATATTATATTATATTATATTATATTATATTATATTATATTATATTATATTATATTATATTATATTATATTATATTATATTATATTATATTTATGATGCGAGTCATGAAAAATATTTCATGGAAAAATATTTCATGGAAAATCTGTAAATTTATAAAAAGAATAAATGATTGATCGAATGTGGAATGATAAAATATTTATATATAAATATTTAATGTTAGACAAAATGTTAATATGATATAAAAATAATAATAATAATAATAAATATTATTATATAATTGAACGAATCAAAATAAATAAAACTTAAAGTAGAGGCAAGAAATTGGTTTACTCATATTTAGATACTGAATCGAATGAGTAGAGTATGATAAACCGAAGAAGGATTTTTGTTGAGGCCTGTATGAACGGTTTCCTTAAGACATATTCGTCCTCTCCTAGGTGCTTTAAGTAATGTTGGACGTCGGTCTCCCAGGATACAACAACAAACGATCACAACAGTAAGCACAATCGTAGTGATCAATCGAACACAATCTTGCCTTTCTCTATCACCGGAAAGAATGAATTTGGAAGAAATTTTCTAAGTGTTTTTCCTATTCCAAAGTTCTAAACT